TGCATTTTATGACATCTTATATAAAATGACAACAGTGACATGTAACTTAACATGAGGAAAATTTCTCTGGAATTCTATTACAGTTGTGTTTCTCGTAACGAATAGTTGAAGAAATATCCAACCACTCAACGGTTCAGCAGGTCTTTCATATTTATTCCATTCTTCACAATATTTTGTAAATTGACGCAGTCTCGTTACAAGGTGCTCCAAATCCACTTCCAACAGAAAGTATGTGGCACAATATTCATGAAATACTAGTATTTTTTGTACATTTGGAATAGGTGTTACGTGTATGTTTACTTTCTCGTATACATACGACATGATACACGCAATAGAGGGAAAATTATATAATACTGTGAAAAACCTATTAAGAGATATCAGTGGAAATATACGTTTTGGAGTCCCTTAATAACAAGAATGTGGGTTTTACAAAATGTCTGTCTCTTGTCTGTTCCTCTGTCTGTTCCTCTGTCTGTTCCTCTGTCTGTTCCTCCGTCTGTTTCTCCGTTTGTTTCTCTGTTCCTCTGTCTGTCCCTTTGTCTATCATGTGTACACAACGCTAGTGCGTAAATTATTCGTAGGATTTTTCACAAATTGAATATTCCCCAGTTTTTCTGGACTGGTTCGTGGCCCTGGCAGAAAATGTGAAAAAAATGTAAATGTAGCTGGGAAGAGAATGGGTAAAACTGAAAAGTTAGCCCAAACTAAATAGATTAGGAAAACTAATACGAGAAAGTTTCTGTCATGTTGTAGCACCCCTAGTGTGCATTGTTTTCTCATTTAAGCCTCATTATTATGATCACAGCCTACTATCATCATTATGACCTTGATCTCGACATACCATGCAGAAAATACGAAGCGCACTTCCTTTATCTTATGGAATGACTTAAAATTATATTTTTGAGAAAGGAGGAAAGGGCAAGGGAAAATTAGAACATATCGGTTATTGGATTTTTTAATAATGAAAACAATTCCTCCTATTTAAATATTTAATGTTATAAATAACTGTTGAATTATTTCATGAAAAAATTGATACAATATTAACAATATATACAGTATGGCAGTATAATTGTAGAATGCTTGTTTTATGTACATTAAATTCGCTGATTTTAGTCTTGATCAATAAGACGGAATTTTAGGGGCATTGAAATGGAATTTAGAGTTTTAGATTCGAACAGAAGTTCATCTCCATAGTGATATTCAACCCAGAAGTTGCGGATAACCTGAAAATATTAATGTTTCATTTAAAATTAGAGCATAAAAATAGACTCAGTAATATAGTAAACTGTGAAATTATTTTTACAGAGATAATGTGAGTTGATGCTTCTGTGTATCTGTATGTAGGTCACGGTTAAACATCCAATCTACTATTCGGAAAAGGAGAAGTTTGACTAATGTCAATATTGTGATGTAGAACTATGTTTCAAAGATCCTCCCAGAAAATTCTATGAGAATACTCAAAATGCACGTTTTTGAGGGTTGAAAGTAGTTAAATAGCGTTTAGAGGCGTTGAAAAGCACTCACAGACGTGATTAGTAGGTAGAAGTTCATTCGATTCCTTTTGATAATTAATTGGTGATTTATTCGACAGGCATTATTGAGTCGAGTCGTTCCATTTGTAGAAAGAAACAATTCTAGAGAGAACGTGTTTTTGAAAGTATGAAATACTGAGGTGTCCTGGTTTAACTGTACAGTACAACTGATTTTTTCGTATCTACGATAAAAATTATATCTAATTTTGCGAGAAAACATGCACAATTTAATTGAACTGTATTTAAGTTACACATCAATTGTCAGATTGTAAAACTACGTGATAAGTCTGTTTTGAGTAATTTTTCTGGAGCGCGTAGACACAACTTGGAAGACAATCTTTTTCTTCATATTTCTGTCCGTTGACCAGATGATTTCATTTTAGTTTGAAAAGTAAACCGGATAAGAATTTAAGATATTTCTCTCGCCAGTTCATGATTTTATTGTTCTTTTAGTCGTAACTCAGACATGACAGTTTTTATAGCTTCTGTATCTCCCTTGTTCTCTTGAGCTGTTGTAAAATTTGATAGACCAATGTTTACTGGCTATGAACCCATATAAATATGTTATTTTACAGAAATGCGACTTACACGATTTTAAAATCTGATCATCGACATGTAATATGTGCCCCTGAATGGAAGGCAACCCGTTATGTTATACGGCAGGTCACATTCTCTCACGGTCCCAGAGCTTTCGTAGACCGGTTAGTAGCTAATTTACTACAAGTTGTCTATATGCAACATATCTATATATTCCTTATATGCAATTTCCACTACATGTCCGCTAGAAAAACGATTGACGATTTTGCGATTTTCTACTCGCACTTGATGTGTGTAATATCTATTCTGAGACACTTCTAAATTTCGCTTCAATGGGTTATTCAACACGTTTCAATTTTTTCTTTGTGAGCTTTTAGGGCACGTCTAAAGTAAATTAATAATGAAGTTAGAAGCGGTCGAGGTAAGATCATGGCCGTGACTGTCATTCACAAGGCAAGAATTATGTTCTTAAACTCTCCAGTATGTATTCGGCATTTTCGGTCCCTAGCTGAGTGTCCCCGAAGTCCAGGCTTAATTCATTCCCACAATTGGGGTGTAAGAGAGACATGTGGCGAACACAACGTTGTCCCCTCACCGCAACTAGCAAACTCCCCCTTCCTGAGCTTTTCTTTGTCACACAAAATCAGAAACTGAAACTTTTTTTAAAGAAAATATACTTTTACTTTTGCTCGGTCTGAAATTGGAATTCGGAATCTCACAACGGGAAGTTTCTACGCTGCCCGTGAACCACTCTAGGGCGCCAAAAATGTGTGTAATTAGCTGCTATCTCTAAGGATAGGAGGTCGGGCATAGCACCATGAGGTGGGGCGTGACAGGGTTGGCATGAAGGGGCGGAGCGAGGAGAGACTGAGCTGGGCTGGACATGACGGTGAGGGGTTGAGCGGGGCAGGGGAGATAAAGGTCGTGATGGTGCGGGATGTGGTTGAGGATATGTCGGGGATGGCCTAGGGTGGACGGGCCCTTGGGGAACCCTGACTCGGACCGTGGAGGACGTTGCGGGCATCGGCGTGACGGCGTAGAAGAAGCAAGCTGGGTGTGCGGGAAGGAGCGTGGGGGGCGTGGTGTGACGTGGCCGGGGCATGGCATGACAGATAGGGATGCGGGAAGGGTGGGGGTGGGGGCGTGGCCGGGGCGGGGGCGAGGTTTTAGGTGGAATTGGTCGTGGCTGTACGTGGCTGTACTGGCGGATATGGGATGGACGTGGCAGGGCATAGTTTGGACGTGGACGATGAAGAGCAAGGCCTGGGTGAAGTGGGGCGCTAGCGGGAAGAAGGCGTGTGTGGGGCGCGGCGGGGCGTGGCATAGACAGGGTGAGCCGTAGAGGGGAGGGGTGGGGCGTGGCGAGGTTAGGTGGGTGAAGGTCGTGGCTGGATGTGGCTGATAGGGAGGAAGTGGCTGGGCATGGCTGAAGCGTGTGGCGAGGAAGAGCGGGGCGGGTGAGGCGGGGCGTAGGGGAAGAGGCGTGACAGGCCGTGGTGGTGTAAAAACAGCGGCGGGGCCGTGGATGAACAGGGTGGAGCGGGGACGGGTGGTCATGTGGGGCAGGGACGCTCGGCACATATGGGGGGGCGGGGGAGGGTCGTGGCTGACCTTGGCGACGAGTGTGAAGACCTCCATCTCCGCGAAGCGCCGCCCGATGCACATGCGCGGGCCGAAGCCGAAGGGCATGGTGGCGAAGGGCGAGGCGGTGTGCGCCTCGGGGCTGCCGCGCACCCAGCGCTCGGGCACGAACTCCATGGGCCGCGCGAAGTTCTTCTCGTCGCGGCTCATCACCATATGGCACATCATCACGTCCGTCTGCAACACGCCGCCGCCACCGCTGCTGTCATCGAGAGTCTCGTTCGTGTTATGCAGTGTTCCTCCCCACTGGAACCCGGGATCCGGCTCCGACCGACACGCCGACTCGCTGTGCTACCTCCTCCAGGTTTCTGTCCCCGTCAGGACAACTCGAAGCTCATGACATGTGTGCATTTAAATGCATGTAGTGAGTGTCGTACGTGTGTAAGTGGCCATGATAAAACAAGGAAGCTGAAGGAAAGATCGCGCGTGATTGGTAGTCCGTTTTAAATAGGTTCTTCTCCAACATTCATGTGATATTGTATGGGACAAAACGTGGAAAACTACTGATCATAGCAGCCGGTTCTTAGAGTTATCTCAGATACAGCAGCTGGCTTACAGGCAGCACTTTTCTTAGAGATAGCACCTTATTACAGAATTAAATGGAGAATTATAAAACGCGGCCACTGGCTGAGTTATCTCAGTCTCTGCGTATAATCTTATCGAGACATTCTAGGGTTCGAGTCTCGTCAGTGGCGAATTTTGAAACTGGATAGAAATCTTGGTCGAGTTTTGTGGTTGCGGGGTAAACAGAACGGCCTGCTGGTTTCTCCAAACAATACCAGGCGAATGACGGAGCAGTACCGTAACGAACAGAAAACAAACGCGTGCGAGTTCTTGTTCTCCTCTTTTTTTCTGTTACTCTCTTCCCTCAAACTAGATGCAGAATATATTAGTTTCCCTTTTCTGGTAATGTGAGTATCTGAATGACGTGCGTGTTAATTGCAGAGACTGTGTTGTCGGAGCTTCCGAAGGAGGCCTTACGATAGCATGTAAGGTATACAGTCCTGAACACAATTTATCTAAGGTATGCGAGTTAATATATTCATCATAGTTCGACCGGCACATGTATTTTACTTGCATACTTTCACACACGCACTCAAGCACACATACGCTTGCACGTACTGTAAAAACAAAAACATGCAGGGTCTCGAAGAGTCTGCACACCTGATAAGGAACATGCATTTTGTTTATTTATTTTGGTCCCCTGTAGCAAGACGACGTGATGAAAGTGCACTTTGTAAGAAGCTGCATAAATAGGCAAAATTTCATATTTTTTAAATCTTTGAAGAAAATTTAGAGATAATGTTATGTAGAGTAATAAAGTATGTTCATCTACAGCAAAAAATGGATTGGGATACATTTTACTTACGCCCTTAGGAACTTGATAATCTCCCAGGACTACATCCGCTGGAGTTTCCCTTACATTTCCCATAGCTATAGGAAATATCCTAAAAAATGAGAGAAACATAAAAGATGAGCCACATGTTCATCAGGGGCAACGGTAGTTATTTATACTTTGCCTACAAAATTTGTATTATTTTTTGTCAATACGTAATGTAATATAACAAAACAGATAAACATATTCTTAGGAATTTACAAAGTGTCCCAATTTTATAAAAAATACATTTATATAGGAACATTGTAGTATTAGTTATTCAGTGATCTAATGAACTAATAAATTGTGTTACGAAAGAAATATAATTAATTTAATGATTTTACGAGTACAAGGATGAATTTTCAGCATTAGAGATGAAATTGCAAAATATTTAAAATACAATGAAGTGAAAACGAACTTAACGTTGTGGCAACAAATCATGTCATTTTTTAAATTACTATTAAGAAAAATACTAGAAAAATCTATAATGGAATGTTCTTGTGCTTCACTCATTATAAAAACATCATTTAGTAATTTAAATGATGTTTTTGTAATGACAGGAACTCAAGAACTTCCCATTATATAAATCAAGTCCGTCAATAAATCAAGCTTGTATTAGAAAAACAGTTTGACACCTTGATTTTTTTGACCGTGTTTTTTTTGTAGAATGAAAATATACAATTAATGTAAAAGTGTAGAAAAATACTTTTCATTAAAAATAATTTGATTAAAATAAAAAAAATTGCAGAATCTGCCGAGAAAAATTCGCTGTAATTCCTTTTTTTAGGTTAGGTTTGTAACAATTTTTTATACTAAATGATATAAAATTCCTTCGAATATGGTATGTTATATAAATTGTAATACAACATTTCTAACATTTGAAAAGCGATGTAGGTCATTTTTCCACGGGTCTTTCACATTTAATCGCCTTCATCAAATTGCAACATTGCAACGGTGGACTCACCTGAGGGACTCCTTGAGGCAGGCCTTGAGGTAGGGCATCTCGTTGGTGAGGTCCTCGGTGATGACGGTGGTCTTCGACGGCAGCACCCGGCGCATCTCCTCGCGCAGGCGCCGCTGCACCTCCGGGTTCTTCGCCAGGTGGAACAGCAGCGACGCCGACAAGTGGGACGTCTGCGAGGAAAACGACTGGATGAAACACTTACACTTCGTTTTCTTAAGCTAAACATTTTCCACGTTTAACTGACTGAGTACATTTTTGAACCCGCTATATTTTTGTCCAAATAAATACCTATTTTAACTTTTTTTTTGTTATTTAAGATCACATCCACTTCTAGGCCATTAGCGACCACTGTTGTTTGTAAGGGTATGGTAACTGAGAGGATGACACGATATGATGATGATAGGGGGTGAAAGGAAGTACACAACACGATAATGCCCGAGGCGGAACTCGAACCCGCGATCCTCCGGTCCGAGATCGCTACGGCATCACTGCCTTAGCAATCTCCGCCATCCGTTTTAACTTTCTCGCTAGGTCTCCCGCAGTAAAAAGGAAGTAATGCGTGAAAATACGGAGAATTTTCGCCAGAAGATTCTTCTTTTTGGGGCTCTGATAACGAAAAAGTGGATAAATGCAGTTTCTAAATTTAGAGAAAAAATCCTCTGTTATGTTGTGTAGCCAAAATCTTTGTTTTGTGGGCCTTTGATACCGAAAAATCAAATGGTGGTAAAACTTCCGTCCTTCCGTCTGTCTGTGAACAACGTTAGCGGCTAAACCATTCAGCCATATTTGTCCAAAATGGGGGGAAAATTTTAAAAAAACGGCGAATTTTCGGCAGAAATAATCATATTACAGGGCCCTGGTAACCCAAAAATGGATAAATCCAGTTGCTAAATTTAGAGAAAAAATCCTCCAACCCGTTGGGTAGCCAGAATCCATTTTTTGTAAGTCGTTGATACCGAAATATCGATTGACGGCAAAACGTCCGTTCGTCCGTCTGTGAAAAACGCTAGCGACTAAACTGTTCAGCCATTTTTTTTTATAATTGATATTCCCTGATCGATTTGGCTAATGTCATGGCCCTTTCATATTTGAAATATTAATGTTAGGGTTTTTCCCTTAATAAAATCTGTTCCTTAAAGCTAGATTTTGAAATAAGGCCAGGTACAATTTTTCGAAAATTTAAGTTATTTTCGCGTAATTTTGCACAAAAGTACAAGAGAGAACGTATGTGCAGTTTTTACACTACTAGTTTAATATTTTTTAAATATATGTTGATAATCATACAGATTGAGGATATAGATGTTCATATTTGCATCTAATGAAGGTAATTTTTATTTTAATTAAAAATTATAAATACTGCAGTCTATCAATTTAGTTCATGTAGCATCTTTTGAATTTCATTAATCCTTACTTTACAAGGATCCGGTTTAGAACTCTGAATGCTTATCTGTGAATAGTGAACAGTCAATTAAGTTTGAGTACAATGCAACTTATTTTAAATGTTATGACTCAAATTTGAAAACAATCAAGTTTTCCTATTTTTAAATCAGAATCAACAGTTACGAAGTGCACACAGTATGGTCCACTGACATATTTAAGTATTTAATATTTTAAGTTCAGAAGAGAAATATTCATATCGTATATGGGAACTTAATTTTGCATTTTGACTACCTTCGGAAAATTTGATTAATCTATGATTTTTTGGTTGTATTACGAAAATAGTGAGATCTTGGCGCGGGTGAGCTGAGATGGTAAAGTCGACTCGTCGAGCTATTCCTCTAGTGTTCGTCTCTTTGAGCTATTTTTCTACAGCAGTAATGAGAGGTAGAGGAAAGTAAACTAATATATAATTCATGAGTGTGAAAGTAGCAGCTTAAACGCGACAACCGAAGGATACAAAGGAACTAATTTTCACGAGTGCGTAGAATTTTTTAGCTCTCTGTTGCCTAACATTGTTTTGTCACCTAGCAATGTAATCGATACCCATATACTTACTGAAATATAGAATATTGTCAGAAACAGCATACATATTTGATATGTTTTATGAAATTCTTGTTAAAAAGATAAAAACGAGTATTTACGAATTATATATTTACGAATACAATGTATATTAACCATGAAATAAAATTGAGAATTGTTGTTTTTATTCACTAAAGAACAAAAGCAATGTTTGCTTTCAAGAACTATAAAATTAATTGTGATATAAAATTTTAGTGAATAAAAATTCAAAATTATTTAATATGAATATGAAATTGCATTGCGTTATTAACGTCATTTACCAGAAACCTTAATATTACATCAGGTATTAAAAATATAATCCCGAAAATAGCAGCATCGTTTTACGAACTCACCGTATCAACTCCTCCAATGAGCATATCAGATGCCATCACTCGAGCTACTTTTGGATCTTTTTCCATAAGTTTTTCCAAGATACTGGGAGGTCTGTCAGGGTTTTTCTTTTTATTCGCAATAGCTTCATTGATGTACTTCTCTGCAACACTGCATTATGATAAAATAAATTATAACGTGATAAATGAAAATGTTACATGATATATTTGTCGTAATATTTACATGCAAACAACAGTGTGTTCACAAATCAAGTATAATTATACAAAAACATTAATTAAAACACAATATATTAATTTTTATCGAGGAATAGAACATAATAAGGTAGGGGTTAATTACTCATAATTAGCTCATACAATCATTTTTTTAAACGCTGTACTCATATGTCCATTGACCTTTTCAACTTTTCAGTGCTTAGAACATTGTTAGAGTCGGCACATAATGTAAATGTGGTATTGAATTATAGCATACCAATTTTTGATACAATAAAAATACATTTTCAGTAATTTTGGAATTAGAATACTGTAGAAATTCATTATTTCATGGACGATTGTGAAAGGTTATACCATGTATTACGGTAAGAACAAAAAGGAATGGCAAATTAACCTTCACCGTAAGGGCATGAACACAGGGAATGTGACAGATTCATTAATTAAATACGCACATAGACGTACATAACTTGAAAACGGTGCGATCTGGGCTCGTAAACTCTGCGTTATGGGAGTTGTATTTTTTAAATCCGATTGAAGAAAATGAAACCTTTGTTGTCCTTCTAGCATTGGGGCGATGTTCGGATAGGGACAATTACGTTTCCAAATTCTCATTTCCCCAGCCGAGCCTCAGGGCTACCACCATCGCAGGGGTTAGAAATATGTCGTAATGGTTAACAACTTAAAATGAACTGCAGGTAGTTTCCAGTTAAACGCGACGGGCAACATGAGGGGAATAAGTCTATGGTCACAGTGCAGGCAAAATATTGGTCTTTCGCTACAGGCGTCCTACCAGCGAAATCGTCCGACTTAGTATTTCATAAAAAAAATACAACAACCAAATGATGCACCGGATTCGTCCGATTTTTCCCTTAATTCCGCTGTTCATTGTTCGAAACATTTGCGAGAATCTCTCTCAAACTATCTATATGTATTGCAGGTAGTCTCGGTATTATAGATGGCATTGAACCTCCAGCTGCTTTAGGGCAAACAGTTCACGTTTCCGGACACGGTCGGGAGACGTCGTTCCGATTCAGTAAGCCAATTTCCATTTACTAGGACGAGTTTGAACGAATCGAGCGTACCAGACGCAAACTTTCCATGTCAGCTAACCTGTGACCACCTGAAAATGTGTAAGAGGTGAACAGGCGGGAAATTTGAGAAACATATGTCAGAAATTATTTTTACAGAGAAAGAAACAAGAATAAAAAAGGCCAAGAATAGGTACAGACGATTTTGAAATAGGCAGAAAAGTACTCACTCTGTCAGGTAATCCATAGCGCCAACGAATCGCCGCCACATAGGGGTGCTCATGATTCTCCACAGGGAAGGTTTGAGATCCAGTTTGTAGAAAGCTTCTAACATCACCTGCACAAAGCCGGAAAGCAATTATTCAAAATAAGAATCATAACGGAATGGGATTTATTATGCTACACCAGATTAATTACAATTCATGAAGTCATTTTTACAGTTTTAGGTATCAGTCAACGCATTTAATTTTAGGAATACTATACTACTTGTTTCTTGTTAATGCATGATAGTTGGATTATTGTGGAATACAATACTATTAAAAATTTTAATTTTAACGGAAAAATTTTCATTCTTTCTTTCTTTTAAAGAAAATTTCGTATTTATTGGAAAATCTTTATTGTTATTATTTCGCTACTTCAAAACGAAAAAATGCATAATTAAGGAATACTTTACCATTTAGTCATTTCAAATTATGTGATATTTCACTCATTACCTAAGATAATGTTTATTATCCCATAAATTGACCAATGATGTACGATAAATCAATACATGACATATCAAATTATACATTTTAAGTGATAATAGTTTATTATAATGTTTAATTCTCAACAACTGATTAAAATAAATCGTTTTTTTCTGTCGAAAAATTAGGATTTTAATCTTAAAATTTATGTCATTCTATATTTAAATATGTATGTAAAGTGCCAAAAATATTATTCTAGTCAATGTCCTTTTAGAGGAAAAATATGTATGCTTTCTCTATAATAATTTTGTAGTTTTGTGTCGCATTTCTTTGAAGGATTTTCCTTGCAACGTGGGTGAAGTACTGCATGGTATACTATCGTGCATACCACCTATCTGATCATTGTAATAAAAATATAAAATTTACTTTACGTTTTTTATGTAATTTGAAAATGTTGCTTAACACCTGTTAGTAAATTCCAAGAAGATTACCTACCTGAACTGAGTCGATCATGCCTTGTGGCTCCGAGTTCTTGGGTAAATTCGGAGCCAGACAGCCTATCCGCGTGTCCAAAGCCACCATTGTGATTGCTGCAAGAGTTTAAAAAGTCTAGGCAATGATTCAAGTTGTGTACAAACTTTCATAGTTGTGGAGCAATTTTGAACGATCGCTCTAACGATGAAAAAGCTTTAATGAATGTGTTGTAGAAAGTTTTCTTCATGAAAGTTTGAATGCTAATAATGTTATATGACGCAAAAAGTTTAGCTTCTAAAAATTATGTTGAATAAATAGTACAAATATATTGAAATTCAGCAACAAAAACTACTTGTATTGTGTTTGGTATTAATAAATTTAACTTCGAAGTTTTCAATGCGTTACAAAAGGAAAAAGTTATTTACGAAAGAAGAATTGTAAGACATTTTATAAATATGGACGGACGAATTGAATACGACATGCAATTGTCAGAGTGGTATTCAATAAGAAGATACTTCTTAGTCAGGATAAATTCTATTTTAAGAAATAAATAAAAAGAAAACAATACATTTACTTAAATGAACTAGGGACTAGTCAATCATAATTTAGCTTAGAAGGGTTTTAGGAAAATAAACATGAATTGGCGCGTAAAGGTAAATGAATGCTATTAGATTCGTCTGTCGCACATTTAAGAAATGTTCTAAAGCTGAAAGAGAGCTGTGAACTATGAACCAATCAGCAAGCGTTCTGGTGTAAACAACACATATAGAGTTTTGGGAATAGTAAGTCAAGAACTGATCGACTTTGGAGATAAAGGAATTCGCTTCGTGAGGCTGAGCGGGTAGTTTATTTAAATATCGAGTATCATGTGAGAAGCAACATTTTAGCAGAGGGTGGACATCGACAAGATTGTAACTGATTGAAACAGAATTCAATTAGTGAATGAGTATTTTTTTAATACTGTATGTGTTTGGGAAGCGAAATGGGCGTGGTCGTCGCCGAGGTGTAATGGGCTTGGCAAGAGGGAAGAAAATGATCATATAATGTAGCTACAACAATTTTAGCAACGTATAAAAGCTGGCCATTCTCAACATTTTAAGGAAAAGTCATGCTTGGCCTGAATGAGATAATATAATATATTTTATTTCTTGAGTAGGAATTATTTAATATTTGTATTCTTATTATCATTCAGGTTTCTGGCAATGTCTGTAATATGTACTGTTGCGTATAAGACAAGCAAAAATAGCCCGTTGATTGTCATTTTCTGGTGATATAATATTTTATAAAGCGTTCATTCCTACGCTGAATCGAAATGTCTATCTTTTTACTATGCATAATAGTAATTGTGTTAGTTTCCCGTCATCCATTTCATTTTAATTAAGACTGGAGTCCTTGTGCTAGGCGAGATTGTCAACTCAATTTATTATAAATTTTAATGATCCACTTAAAACATTAAAAGCATTTGTCAAATCATTTACTTTTAAACAGAGAAATAGGCAAACGAGACATTATTTATGAAGTTATGAAAAAAAGCAGTAAGGCAAATCGCCATAATACCATCTTGCTATCCTATTTTAAACATTCCAATATACGGTATTTTTTGTTTAAATTCATTACGGACTAATCATCTTTAGAAAATGACTGACCAATGTTATAAGTAGTTAATAGGTTAGTAGCAGGAAATGGATTATGTATACACTCGTATTCTAACCATACATATCTCAGACATTTGACTTAAGATAATCAGAGAAAAAATACCATTATCATTCAATGAAAAGAGCCCGTTGAAAAGTTCTTTGATAACTCACATTCCAAGGACCATTTGTAGAGCTCGTTGATAAAGTCGGCTGGGAGCTCGTTATTTTCATCTCGAAGATCACGCATTCTGAAGAGTCATACCCAGAACAAAAATAATTAATACAATTAATTACAGAAATATCCTTTTAGGTAGAGAGTCTAACTCTATCCCAAAAGTTAGAGAAAATAACAAAAAATACTTAATTTTTCTTTACGTTTAAAATCTAACACAATTTCTTTTTAACGAAATATATTTACATATTCTCTAAATGAAGTTGACAGGATATAGAAAATACAAACCACTAGATATCAATTACGTGTTTGATTTTAGGTCATTCACCTAGCAATGAAGTCTTCTGCGACATCATTCACAGGAGTATAGTATTGATTCGCAGATTTTCTCTGCATCAGTGGCTGATTTACTTGAGTCCGAAAATCATACCACTCTTTTCCTTGTCTGAAAAGGAAAGAAAATTTTAAAAATCACAGAAATAAGTGTAGTGGTTAATATAGGCTTGGTTTTGAAATATCTTATTTATTTTGTATTATTATCTTACAATTTGCTAGGACCTCCATGCATTTGAAATTATATTGATCTGTTACAAAAAAAGTAAATAAAGTGTAAAATAATACAGCCCTTTGCGAGAAATTGATATAAAAAAAAACAAATTACTACAATCATGTAACTTACGTAGACACTGTCCCGAGAGCCCCCTCAAACTTTTCTTTCCTCTGTACTGTGCGATAGTAGTGTATAGTCTTTATTCCTTCGCGAATAGGCCATTTGCCTTCATTTCGATACATCTGTAAATAAATCGTGTACATTTCAATGCACATTAATGAGAAATCAAGTAAGTACAAATACTTTATAATATGCGTAATTGATGATTATTAGGCAGTAAAATATTCAACTTTTGCGCAAGTAAGGAATTGTAAAGTTATGGTAAAACAAGAAAAAATTAAGTACAAAGAATATTTTCCTCTTTTTATTTCTGATGCTTATATCTGGATTGAAAATGGTATGGAGACATGTACTTTCATCAATAGTACAATATTTGCTGGACTTATTTAAATGTTTATGACTTAAAGAATTTCGAAAACTAACCAAGAATATTTTACCTAAAATGTTAATAAATACACATTACAGGTTCAGTTTGTAATTGACACATTTATTACAATAGTATGTGAAATTACAATTTGCGTCTACATCAAACCTGATTCATATGACTAAAACATGTTGCTTGAAATATGTGTTTCTATGAAAATACATAGGAATATTTCCGTATTGAATATCCCTTTTAACCAATTCGTCTCCATGTCAGTGATACCTGTCATACACACTGTACACAGTCATATATACTCTGCAAGTCTATAATTTTACAGAATTTCAAAACCAAACCAAAACTTTGCCGTGTCCTCATGGCATTTTTCATCTGATTTACACATATAACGATGCATGTATCCTGCAGTTTCTATTTTCTCACAAAAAGCAAAAATGTAAAACAGAGTGACTAACAGGGTTTAAAAAGCTATTCAATTACGTTGCAGAATTAATGAAAGTGATTTACACTAAGATTGTGCTCTTACGCTTTTAATACTCATATGTTCAACTTCATTTGTTGATGTTCAAATTTCCGATGAATGATATTTATTTTTGATGTAAAAAGGAAACTCATTATTTTTGAAGCAATGTCATACATTTTTTATTTACATTTACTTACTTTTTCTGTTATTTTAGGATCAAAAACCCAAAGCATATCTTTCCTTCCCAGGACATTGCTGACTCGTACCATGTCACCGTATTGTCGACGGAGCATGTTCTGAAGTTCCAACATGTCTTTTTTTCCATACTCGCCTAAAGAAAAAGGATAATAGTTTCCCTGATTATTTATTATTCGTGTTAAAACGTAAATAGTTGCTGGTAAAGTCATAAAGAAGAATATTTACAAATACTGGAGCCGTTTCTAATAAAATAAATGTTTAAAAATTGCCTACGTTTCGTGCAAAATTACGTGAAAACTACTCATATTTCCGAACAATTGTGCCTGATACTTTTTTAAAATCATTGTTTACAAAATAGTTTTCATTATTAAAAATATATCTATCATTAATAATGTAGTTATAGGAACGCAGCGAAAATATGCCGAACTTCTGCAATTTTCGACAAATCTGGGATTTTAACGAAAATGAGACCTGCCCTATTGTTTTATTATTTTTTTACGCTAACAGAGAACAAAGTTTAACAGAAATATATTAAGTCATTGTTGAGAAAGTGTAGAAAATGTTGAGGCTTTATGTAAAGTATAAATCAAAATATCCGTTTGAAGCTCGCAAGGCTTTGCGTTCGTTAAGATCTAAGCTTTGGAAGAAATTTTCTGAGGGGATAAGCACTAGCGTTCAACACTGACTGACATTTTGCAATTAATATATTTTACGATATTAAAAGGATATTAAAGGTTTATTAAGGGCTCATGACACATAGATTCTAAGAAAAAGAAATGTTTAAAAAAATATTGATTGCTCTAAAACAAAATAATGTGTGCTCCGTATTCACATAGGTAGGACATTCTTATGTCTCGCCCCAAAAGAGACTACGGACAAACCGCCCCCGAAGAGGCTACTCACCGATGCCGGGCAGGAAGCGCGGTGTGTTGCCCAGCAGCGGGAGGGGCTTGGGGCCCGGGATGTCCTGGAAGGGCCGGGCGCGCTCCCAGTCGGCCGAGCGGGCGTCGGCGGCGTCGGAGGGCGCCGCGGCGGAGGCGGTGGCGGCAGCCACCGAGCTGCGCGCACGCCCCGCCCCCGCCCCCGCCCGCGCGCACGCCGCTCGCACGCTCGTCGTCAGCAGCATTGCAACTGCCGCACACACAAGCACACACGCCGCACCTCACTGAATCGCTCTTTCTTTGGGATATGGAAACACATGATTGACTGGTGGAGTTAACACAGCAGGTACTTTCAGGAAAAATTACGCGAAAAGTACTCAAATTTTCGAAAAATTTTACATGGCCTTAGTTCAAAATCAATTTTTAAGGAACACAATTAAGGGAAAACTATCCCTTTAAAGTTTTAGTTGTAGGAAGACGCCTAATAAATTTGAATTCTTGCAATATTCAAAGAAAATCTGTGGGGGGGGGCTATATGTAAAGAACCCTTCAAAATTAAAATATCTGTTTCACATTCTAGGGACCGCGACATCAGCCAAGTCGATAGGCGAATATCAATTATGGATAAATAGGCTGAACAACTTGGCCTCTAGTATTGTTCACAGACGCAATTTTTTTTGTAATTACATGCCATTTAAGATGCATACGAGTACTACGAGTAAAGTTAATGCTAAATTCCAAATAGACCGTGTCTACTTGCTTCGATGAAGATTTCAAGCTTTCGCTGAAAATCTGTGGACGTCTAATCATTGATTCTGTCATTTTATTCTTTGATGACATCTTTAGGTCGAACAAGGCGTTTGTTTGTGAGAATAAACACGCCAATTCAGGAATTTCGCATTGACGCGTTATAAGCAAACAAACGGTTCTCTACCGTTTATTTCTGCAATGCTACTGAAGAAGCGTTGTATAGCGAAGACAATAATTTTTGATTTTCTACCATATGTCCACTCGTCGACACAATCCACCCATTTTCTTTTTTAAATAATCGATTCTTGTCGGCCACTCTCTATACTGTGTCATAGCATGTGCAGAAGTATTGCGAGTGCTAGGCATTTGGAGCCTTGACCTTCCTAATGGGCGGAAACTAAATGCCACGTACTGTGAGACAATCCCCTCCCCTTCCATGTCAGTTGCGCCACTCGTGACGGCTCGGTTGCTCTTGTGGTTGTTCAAAAAACATTGGCCACGCCGCCAACAGAAGCTGCGTAGTCGCATTCTGGGGAACACTCAATAAAGCAAATGTTTACATCCATGAAATCAACATGTAAATTATGTCTTGTAATTCTGTCATGTGTCAAAAATGACGCGACACTTAGTACTAGTAATGCAGTTTACAATGCATGATGTAAAATGAAATCATGCAAGATTGAATAAAATGGAAGCACGCATGAAGAAATGTGTAGTAAATGGTCCACATCAATTTTCTAGACGCCAAATGAAGGCTATTAATTCTTGTCAAAATTTATGAACAACGTTTTTGTTCGGTCTATACGCGGAACTAATATTTTTGTTCAGTGTTTATGTGAAGACTGATGTGGGAGGAAATTGTTTCCACGTACTGTGCTATGAGCTCTCTAAACATTTGACAATTCTACATTCGAGAAATATTTCAAGACTAATCTTCATTCGTACTTTCTTGTTGAAGAAAGTCATCTGCAACGATATCGGCCAGTGACACCATCTTTAGAAAACTTAACAGTGATATACTCTCTCGTATCGAACTCAAGAATATCAATTCCTCGCTATTAAAAACCTACATTAATGAATTTTGGCAGAAGTACACGTTGGTACCGGCAATTGCTGTCTTTTGTTTAATACTGCGTGTTATCTTAATGGCTAGCTTGCGTTCAGCCTCTGTCAGTCTGCTCGTCAGTACGTCTTCAATCGAACAACAGATCGACCTGTCGATTAGCCCACCGGTCCGTTCGTGTGTCACTCTCTGTTCGTCGACGTCCGTTTAGGATTAGCCTTTTCTCCTAAACTGCACACAATTTTTTAAAGTGTCTTTCCTGGTGCTATCGTTCCCGCATTTTAAATTTGAAGGAAACGTTTTATCTTGTTAACTTGAATCAAAGATAAACATGTGCACGACTCTTTTCCACTCGGAGCTGTTGCTAACCCACAAAATGCACGCGTGTGGAACAATATGATTTTATTGCCACAATATTTTTAAAAAATGGAAGTTTTAGTGTTAAATATACAAAATATTATAAAATTAATAAAATTTTGAACATCTCAAGACGGTTTTAACGACGGTTATAACAGTTATGACGACGATCATTTAATTGTGGTCAGGTTTTACAAGTCTAATATTTATTTTAATTTAACACAGATTTGCGAGATCAAAAAATAGGTCTAAGAGTTGATGATTGACATACCGAAAAGAGTTACTGATTTATGTTTTTCTTTGTTTCTATCACTTTACATGTTTAAAAGAGATAAAAAAACATCATCTGTAGAAATAAATATTTTTCTTGCTTTGAATGATTTACGACTCATTAAAATCATTTTCATCTCACAGCAAAAACCCTTTTAAAGCTATTTACAATTATTTTTAGTTAGAATTAAAAAACATAATTTATTAAACATATATTTAGTTAGAATTAAAAAATATAATTTATAAAACATATTATTAAACATAAAGGCATTTGTATTTATCATACATCTAGAAAAGAAACTAAATGTCATTCACAATTATAAATGCAAATACATATAGAAGGAAATAAATTGAAACTAAACAAGAGGAACTAAGAAAATAAATTATAATTGTTTAATATATTTATTACAATTAAAACATTTCTCAATTAATATTTTGACAGACTTATCTTATCTTCTTATATATCCACCTTGATTTCGTTCACTGTACGATTATCTTCACAATAAATTATTCAAACGATTATTATTAAATACTAGTAGGAAAGACTGTCAAACTCTAACGTTCTTGTTATCTTATTTATTCGAAATGTATTAGCAGTATTGTAGCTGTTTCTATGAGTATAAAATTAATACGAGTAAAAATAATACCATTTCATTTCTTGATAATTGCGCATATTAGTTAAAAACTTAATGTTTAACACGCAATGTTTATTACTAGTTACATTAATTTTCGTGAAATTTTGAATTTCATTATTTCCTTGCAAGGGCATTTATTTTTTATTTAAGTGTTAGTTTTTATATTTTTTAGTTACTAATAACAACAGATGTATTATTAGAGAAGAAAATAAAATATTGCTATATTTTTTGTGTTCAAAAGAAAGTTCATTGTACACACAAAGGATAACGACCTTTGCGATTGCAAACGTAGATATTTGCATATGACGCACAGGAATGTGACTCGATAAAAAGTGTAAGAAGGGTTATCACATTGCTCTTAATATGATGTTAAATTTCCATTCATGTTATTACGAGAACATTCTATTTTTAAGAAATGTATGGGATCGTGTTAATTTAAAATTATCATAAAAAACGTTCATTTAAGAATAGTGTTTACACTGCACATATTTTCGATGTTTGCGTTTTCATTACTGAAGTGATACGTACAAAGTCTATTGAGAATTCAAAAACTAGATACACAAATAACACCAAGCAAAAGGTATGAATGCAAATGTTGGGTATATTAACGCGTTTGAACAAAAATTAACACTTCAATTTTTTAATCTAATTTGACCTACTATACTTGAAAACAATGTACTTCTTCCTTCTTGAAAACATTACGTTTTCGCTAATTCACTGATGGCTATTGAAATGCACCTGTCGCATACACAGACTACTAAGTATTTTTAGCAACTCTGAGGATATATTTTCATATTCGTTTTCAAACACTTCTAATCAACCGTCATTATAAATCAATATATGAATACAATATTCTATTCTGCCAATATTCATTCAATATTGCCATTCTGTACCGATAAGCTATTGATTTTCCTGCTGATAGGGCGCCCTCTGACAACTACTTACCCGTCAACCGAAGCGAACAGGCTTCCTAGGGCTGTAAGTGACAACAGTATCTCTGCCCGTCGACCGGGCGACTGAAATGGAGTCGGCGTTTTTCTCTCACCGCTTCGCCGCCGAGATAGCGCGCCGCTGTGACGCACAGCCCAAGGCCGTGGATTTCACATCCCCGCGCCACTCCGCCTCCCAAACAGCGCGGCGGGTGACGCGGCGATTCGCAGAATGTTCACCTCAAGGGCAGAGCGCGCCCGGGTCCACCCACGGCGAGAACAGTTGAACCGAGTTCGGACCCGTTCCTACCTTCTCAAATGGTTCAGGAAAATGTACTGCGTGGGGATTACCCGTCGTGAATTCTGGTGGCCATGTTCTCTTCATATATCCATTTTTCGTAAGATTTCTATGACGAGAAAAAATGAATATCTTACATCCACGTCCAGCGAAAGGTTATGTCAAGAAATTTGATCTGATATTCTAATCCTATATTTTCTTTACTAATACTCTCGAAATAAAAAAAATATCGCGTCCGTTCACAGAACCATAGTCACGATGTCGAATCATCCGATCGTGTGCTATCATGGGATATGTTTACAAATATTGTGTATAACGTGTTGTCCGATTAATCTGTGTGTATGTGTATTTACGCAGTAAAAACCTCCAAACTTTGCTCTAAAATAATCCCTATATTGACCCTTCAGATAATTTATACGCATAGTACATTCACCTGGCACTTTTAACACTTACTATACCACTCAATGAAATTTCAAAGACTACTACTATTAGTTAGTAGTACTAGTTTCTACAATAGACCATTTCTGAACATAACTGAGAGAAATTCTTAGATCCACCTACCTGCTGTCAGAACGGAGGATCCTTTCTTTCTACTTCATATTTGTAGGGAAAAGTCCATCTGTGACTCGTGGGAGTTGAAGTCACCTGTGTTAGTTCATCAGCGTTACGAATTTGCGAATGGACTCGAAGGTACACAGTACTCTACACGATCGTGATTCTTCTGTTAAATATCATGCTTATTTCAGAGAGAGTAGTTTCATGTTAGCAAAAAGAAACCACGTTGATAGAAACAATATGGAACTCTTAATTTTTTAAATTTATTGAAATATTTAGTAAATATGACAAACGATAAAAAAAATAAGTAAAATGTGCAAAATAATAAAAATAAAATAACCGACTTTCAGAATTATTAAGTTTGTGACAGGAATATACAAATTATGCAAGATTTGCACAGTGCAATCATGTTTAAATAATTGGAAACTGTTCATATCTAGGAGGAATATTTGCTAACTTAAAGAAGAAAGTATGCATTTTTATTGAAATTGGTCCCTTATGATCGGTTCATAGCCTGATTCTTAATAGTGATGACGGGAAGGCGGAGGTAGAATCGCACGCGAACCATGGCCTGTGGTTTAAGGAATCCACATCAAAGAAACAACGAACAGCCCCGGTCAGTGCCTCCGCTAGAACCCATCAAGGCAGTCTGCTTCCCAGTTCCATCACTGGCGCCGGCGGCCCGTTGTGAGCGCTCAGATTTCTCGTTTTACATCTCAGAGTCTGGGGTTAGATCCCTGTCTCATCCAACTGTAATGCGTGGAGAACAAAGGGTTAGTGACGGAGTTCCGCAGGGTTCTGCCATACCCCCTGCCACTCACTAATCCATCGTCTCGATCTTCGAAAGCTTCATTTCAGCTCTTTTTCCCAAACACTAACGTATCAGGAGTCCGATGTATCCCAAAGGTAAATACAGTGGTCATGTGTTCATTCGTACCGTCAGTATATGATAGAGTTTGTAAGACGCTACAGTTACCGTTTTACTTTCCAGTGGCCCTTTATACTTTAACTATGAAATTTTCTAATTTTGTTAACCTATATAATTATGTAGTTTCTGTTTTCTCTTGTACATAATAATGAGCTTCAGTATTAGAAATGTATTCTTTTCTTAATTTTTTAACATTGTTTTTTTTGATATAATATTGCCATCGTTTGTTCTAGACCTGACCTTTTTTGTTGTGTTTGTTTCAGGTAAATATTTGCTTGGATTTTCCCATATTTGGTACAAGAACAAAGAGCAAAACACCCATTGGCTTCGTCAAATGTAAGTATTTTTTTTCATATAATGCAACCATTGTCACATAATCAGAGAGTGATCAAATGTACCTGATGTAAGTTTTGTTGTCATCATCTTCATAATTTTGTCCCAAGTACACTTTTAGGAAAAGTTTCACGATATTGAATATGACCTTAGAGGTAAATTTTCCTTTTTCTACTTCTGTTTTTTTCACATTTCAATATTGTGGAACTTGTATTTTAACTAAATGACACTTGTTTGTTACGTTTGAGTCAAATGTTAGAGAAAATGAGGATGCGCATTTTAAGCAAGGTTTTCTAAGCAAATATTGAATAATTTTTACTCGTATTTCCATTAAATTCGAGTAAACACCAACGCATCACGACAAGCTTTTCTACTTCGTCTGGAATACACTTTCAAAGACAATATTAACCGTTACGGATGCTGATAAAATTCTGAATTTACCTCCAGAAGATTAGAATCCACACTACAGAAATCATCCTGTAAAGTATGATTCTTGATGCTAGTGAAATTTACTAATATGAGTGATGAGGTCCGCCAAACACGGGATAGAAAATAAAGTTCAACGCAATGTTTTTTAACTTGGGGGTTTCCGTCAAAAATGAGGTATTAAAAATCTTTCCAATTAAAATCGCAACCACACACATAAAAACAGTTGTCAGACCCATAGGCTTGACAAATGTTTATGTATGTCGACGCGCTTAATCCGAATTAGAAGCCAGAATTGCGCCATCACCTTCCAGTCTTATTCGCAAAACAAACACAACGAAATAGCAGATTGTAAATTTCACGTTTTTGCGATTTAAGAGAAAAGGGTAGAGGCGCAATTCTGGCTTCAGATTCGTATTCAGCACATCGAAATACATAGAGAAATATGTACGTCAAGTCTTCGGGTGCAACAACTGTTTTCGTTGGTAACTGTGTAATTTATCATAATAAACAGATCGCAATTGATTTAATTCTAAATGTAAGGTTTGTACGATTACTATCATAGTAGTATGTAGTCTAATTGCATTCTGCGGTCCTCTAAGGGACGGTGAATCAATTTTAAGGAGACCTGGAAGGGTTCGCCTCGTTTGGGGTTATTTGCCCGTTCTATGAAGGAATCGAATTTAGTTCCTCTGATATTGTTATACACGTTTAGGGTTACCACGTTCTTAGAATCCAACAGCGTGTGTATCAAAGATCAGGTGCATTGTGTTTTAGTGTATTTAGTTGGACCTGACAGTGCTTTTACAATTTAGTTCCTGTGTCATTTGCCTAATCACCTACGCTGTATATTATCCCTAGCGCGTGTCGCTGCCAGGAGTATTTGATTCCTCCTCAGATCTCACGTTCCGAGTGTGCGTGTACCTGGGCTTTCACGCAGCGCCCATTTCTTGCACAAACGCACAACATCGACTGTTGCCCCTTCTCACTCCTCTCAAACTGCGAAAGCGAAATGCGCGCAGCGAAAATTACTGTATTGTAACACCAGATGTTTTGCCAGTAACACATTTATAGCGAAACAGAATTTTATTTTTTATTTTTATTGCTTTTGGAGATTTTCTATCCGTAAGTTTGTTTGTCAGTATATCGTTAAACCTTAAGTTTTGTCTGTATGTACTTTGGCACAAAAGCTCATTACGAGCAAAGGTCTACCTACAGCGTCTTGGCGTTGTGGCCAAGGGGCCAGTTAAGGGGTATGTGTGGTTATCTCATAGCCATTCCCGCAATGTTCAACCTCAGAAGTGAGATTTCTCATCGTTACACAGCAAAGGATACAGGGACATTACAAGGAAAGCGCACAATTAATATTTGCCTTGTCAGGGAATTCAATAGACAATGTCAGACAAATAAAAGTCGCCAAATCATGCGATTATTTTCGGTTTGTCACAATATAAACATATGCTAATGCACTCAAATTTAATGAGACTTAGTTTAAAATGTATAGACTTCGTTTAAAAACATATTAACTACGATAGCATCATCATTTTCATTATTTTTTCTTAAATTACTGTTTTGTCTATTGGAACTGGCGACGAGGTAAGTAAAATTACGAATCGGACCCGCGTGAATTGAACTAGTGGAGCAAGCAGGGTAGACCTTCGGACAAATAAAATCTAAAAACAGTACAATGTTGAAACCAGGTCACTATGACTCTAAACATTTCATTTCCACTTTCTTTCAAAAGTGTGATTTCGTCTGTCAGTAGTCAAAATAATATTCACATGAAAAAATTTTAACAGAAAAGTACATGTGTAGACATTAGTTACACGTTCATTTTCGTATTCGAAAACACAACATTAAATATAGAATACGCGTAGAATAACTGAAGCCAAACACGCAGTCACCCGCAATGGTACGAAAAATGTTTTTCGATGCTTCGAAGGAAATCCCTGAATGGCATATGTTGCTCACCAGACAAAATTTGCTTTACTCCTGTTAGTGTTCGTATTTCAATAGCACGAGAAGGGAGTTTGCTTCAGCTCGAGATACATGCGTTCTCTACTTTTTCTGTGCATGCGTTGTCGCGGCCCCGGCGGTTTACATGGCCACCTGGGTAATTGACATTAAGTATGGAAAAGAATAAAATCTGTTGTTTACACGGTGGCTTGGGTAATTCTTCCTGAAAATCTGTTGTGGCAGTTTACGAAAATTAAACAACTCTATTTAGCACAAGAGTAATACGTTATGCACCTTTTCCATGATTTTTTGGGAGAGGGTGCCGGTCTATATTGTACAATGAACAACCTCTACTGGACAAATTATTTCTATGCATTTTAACATTTTTCGAATCAGCGTTTTCCTGTAGGTATGTCTCTCATTCCTGTTACTTCTGATGTAGGTTAAAAGAGAAACTGACCTAGTTATAATATCGAAAATATTATTACTTCCCTCGTACTTCACTTTTTATTAGAATCGACTGGTATTGCCACCCACAATTTCGTATCCGATTGAGATATTGAGTAGTGCTCCGTCGTTTGAAGCACATCCTGATCAGACCGTTGTTGATTAAATTTGTGTGATCTTGTTGTGGATGTTAGCGATCAGACTGA